AGTAACGTAGTCGATTGTTTTAGCAAAAATAAGTTTGCTTCATCGACACTCCTACCAAAGAAATGTCAGCTCAGCTCATACCATTGTGGCAAAATTCGACTACCAGTCCTTAATCACCTTAAACGAAATAAAGTGAATAAATCTCATAATACTACTTAATTTTGATATGAATAGCCTTGGAGAATAAACTTTTGGTAGAAGGGATTAATTGAAATTAATTGTTCTCGTAAGGTCTATTCATTTGATTGTGTGAGAAAAGCTCAACTATTAGCTCTAAAATCACCTTAAGGGAACTACGCTGACAAAGGATTTATTCAGGAATTACTGATACTTTCGAATCTTACTGACATGGCAACTAAGGCCTATTTTCTTTTATAATTTTTTATAATTACTTAAATGTGGCGATTAGCCCTCATACTTTTGCGGCTTGTTCTATTGCCCCTTTGTTCTTTTCTATCTGCTTCTTTCCTGCTCAGGTGTTCCGTTCGAAAGGATGACATGGCGCGAGGCCCGTCAACGACGTCTCAAGGCTCAACAACTGGTTTACAATGCAAGTGAGTAGGTCTTACTAAAGAGTGATAGAGAATTTTCCTTCACTCAGATGAGTAGACCTTAGAATGGCATTGAATTTGCTCTGGTCTTGCCTCCAAAAAAGCCATTTCCATCCGGGCTGTACTGAGCTGCCGTTTCCATCTTAAACAAGTCTTATCGGTACCTTCGACAGGAATCGGACTGGGCAACTTATAATTTTGGCATCGTATCAATATCAGTCCTTCGTCCCCTTGAGTGATCAGGCTGGCGCTAGCTCTTATTCAACATCTATTTATATTAGCAAGATCCTACTCATTTCCAATATGAGTAGGCACTTTGCCAGATTTACGTGTGAGCTTGCTGAAGAGCCGTAATAGGGTCAAGATCTGTTCGAGAATGCGACCAGTTTGAGCTCATGTTTTAACTTCAGACGAACATTCCGCTTAGTCACGTTGTCTCTCCGAATTGGAGCTACCTTCTTTCTTTCCATTTGTCCAACATTAAGCTCTGCTTGAGAAGGAGATTTTCGAGAGGTGTAGAGCTGATCACACTGTCGTCCTCAATTCGGCTCATTTGACGACGATATTATCAAAAGGTCTCAATGACCAATGGAAACCTCGATGAGTGGACGGCAAGAGATCGCTGAACACGTCGGCCGGTTCTGGCTTTCAATGTTTTAGAATCCCGTCGTCTGACCGACTAAGAATTCTGATCTACCATTCTTCGACTTCCTGGAACGGAAGCCTTTGACGTGTTGGCATTCTTTCAAACCCATACTCCTACTCGCATACGCACACACGCACTCACTTGTTCACCAACAGTGCCACTTTCAAAAGCACTCAAGTACAGAGTAACTTCTTTATCGTCATACTATCTCTCTCACACACACTCACCTACTTAGCGAAGAATCCATGCATCCATAGTCATTTATTCACACGCTACGAAGTGTATTCACCGTATATCGCATACGGTGAAGACTGATAATTAGATTATTTTAGGGGACCCCATTGAAGTGCCTCACGGCCTGTAGGGGTTTAATCAGCACCTTGAGCCGAAATCGACATGAAACACGATTTTATCGCATAACTAGGCTTCCACAGGCAATTCTATTGGCTTTGTATCATCTTGTCACTCAGTGTGATTACATCGCTCAGTCAAGTTCTATCGATGGTATCGAAATCCATTTATTATGAATTTTAACAGGCCCACACAATCAGTCACCTGTTTGCACACTTTTTTATTCACCCACTTACCTATTCTATCACATACATACACACTTGCAAAGGCACACACTTACCTATCTTAACAGACTTCCACCAGCCAATTTAATCGCTTAATCTCAGGCTCGTTTACACAATTACCAACTTTATAGCATACACTTGAGCGTACACAAATGCAAACTTGTGCGTTCATACACACACACTCACACACACACACACACACACATATATATATATATATATATACGTACATGCACTCAATTGTTTGTCTGTTTCTCCAACCCACTAAATATCAATCGACACAAAACCTTCACTGTAGCTGTGACTTAAAGTTGTCGGTTGTCATGTTGAACACCGGGTGTGTTATGAGTTTCCTTGTTGCCTAGTCTGCCTTATTTTCTCAAAGTTTTTCCCACTCTGTCAGCACCAGAATTGAACCAAACTGTCTCCAACCCCTTCAGGTCGTCCTCAGCCCCGGCGGAGACGACAGCACCTCGGATCTACGCCAGCTCTAGACGGCGATTCGCGGGCTCGGCAGACGTTCAATGCAAAGTCGCGAGACGAAGGCTGTCCAGAAGCAGACGAGGGCAGGGATCTGTCTCCGAATTGTCGAAAGAGGAAGAGAAGCCTTTCGGGAAACTCGACAAAGCGGTCCAGGTCCGTTTCACCGGAAGGAGGTGAGTCGTCGTCCGTGGTGGCATGCAACAGGCGGCATGCTTTGCCGCTCTTCCGACTAGTTTCGGTTTCCGCCTGACGGTCCACTCTCGGGACCAACATTGTTCAGGTTACTATGGCGCCTACGATGCGCCAGTTGGCCGGGAAATCACCAT